GGACTAGGTGCGTTCTACATAGTCGCCCTGACAACAAGACCAAGTTGCGACAACGAGGTCATCCCATTTCTCATTTTTAACCTCGTTTATTTGCCCATATTTACTTAGTGGTTTTTTAAATATAATTTAAAAAATACTTAAATTTAAACTAAAAAACTGGATGGCATGGCAAGTCTCAACACGTGTACAAAGAGATGATATAGCTGATGTGTCGATATTCAAGAACACCACAAACTGATTGTTGGCTTGTATCACATTCGGCTTGATATAACGAAATAACCTCTATTAATTCGAGTTTCGCATTATTCGAGCTCGCATTAATCGTCTGTATCTCTATTTAACATGCTCCACCTGATAAATTGTGAATTATTATTATCCATTGTTGGCGTTTTTTGACGAATCTCATTTCTATCCACTTTTCTGATTCTAATGAAGCCGGCCACCTGATCCAGTTAAACAGGCCTCTTATGTCGACGACTGGGAAGGACTCGTCGACTCATAATCAGGATTCCGCAATGGCAATAACCACCTCCAAGGACAAACGGCCAACTTTCGACTTCACCTCAGCATCTTTGCATCGTGGCAGTTGCGGTGGCAAGCTGACTACTGATACATATGGATTCCGTGACGACTACCAATTACTACAACCTTCCGGTCGTCATGTAGAAATGGATCAAACTGGCATTCTGGCCGAACGTAAGGCGGCCGATCGCAGTGGGTTGTTATTCTCGACTCTGAGCACTTTTGCTCAGCCGATCGAGAAAGGGGTTGCTCACGAAGGCGAGCAACAAAATAATGCATTTGAGACAGTGCTTGGGAATGGAGAAAAGGACCCGACCTACCAGAGCCAAGCAGTACTACTGAAAACGTCAGACTACTGCCAGCTGAGAGCAGATAAGCAGACTAAGCGCCCGACCTTCAACAAGCTCTCCTCCAACCCAGCTAAATCGACATCGTACCAGGTAGGAATGTTGCAAAAACGACCAACTCATTCATCCTTTCGCTCTCACAAGCAGTCAGTCGGCTTAATTATTTACGCGTTGGTGATCAGATGTTGCTTGCTTTCATCCAGACGCAAACATAGAAACCTGGACACTTGTAATATTTACCCAATTGCTACATGTTCCCTTGTTCTAGCTCACTTTCTACAAGTTCGTCCTCATTTTCTTTGTAAAAAAACCACATTAATAGGCCTGCTCAGACCAAAGTCTCACTCAACCCTGATGGTATCGGCCTACCTGAGCCCTGATTGAACCGAAATATTATTGCTTCGTCCCTGGCGGGACTCGGGTCATGCAGACTCAGATGAGGAGGGCCCCATGATCTTAGTGTTGTTAAGCCTCGAAATATCGAGAATCTTGAGAGATGGATGAATCTTTTGCAAACAGTTTATTTTCCATCTAACGGAAAGGCTTCAGCATCAGAAAGCAATCCTACAATTGCTATATTTTGGGTGTTTTGGACAATCGTAGAAATCTGAAATTTCCAGGATAGGATTTGTAAATATCTTATTACCCATGGCAGAGTTGAGACAGTTCCCTCTTTCCGAGATTTTTCTGGCCTCGAAATTTACAGAGAATCCTGAGTGAAATCTTTACTAGCCATTCCGGCAATAGAACATTGAAGAGAAATAAGTCATATATATTACCAAAAGTTTAATTTTTTGACGAAAATTGTATATCCCGGGCAGAATAAATGACTTTAAATTGTAACTAAAAATAAACAAGATCTGTAAACTTGGTAATCTTAAATCACTTAC